GGGGGGGGGGGGAAGGCGCGTGCTATATAGAGGGAACCATGCAGGGGGAAGGAGAGAGGGGGAGGAAGAGGGAAAGGGTGAGGGCACAGGGCCAGGAGAAAGGTGAGGTCATAGCGGAGGCCCCTCGGGCAGAGGGAGGCCCGCCGGGGGCGGTGTCTCTCAGACTTGGTGCCGGCAGGCAAGGCTGGGAAGGATAAAGGACCAATCTCCACGAGGATGTGCAGAGGGGGCCGGGGGCAGGGAAAATTACCCATGATCAAGCGGCCGGGACTGGCGAGCAAGCGAGCAGGCGCCCGGGAGCCAATCGGGGGCGCGCGCGCGCGCGCGCCCCCGCCCCCACACGGAGGCAGGCGGCCGCCAGACTGTGCTCGCATGCTGCCCCGGGCGGGTGTCGGGCTCGGGTTCCGCCGTGTGTAGCCGGGCCTCGCTTTGCCCGGCTCTTCAACTCCCGAGCGGGCGGTGGACGGGGGTCGGGTTATGGGGTGGCATTGGCGCGCAGCATGGCCAAAAGAAAAAAAGGCCCATGTGTGCCTGGGGGGTCTTGAGTTGAGCATGGTACACACTCGTTAGTGTGTATGTGCGTGTGTGTGTGTGTGTGTGTGTGTGTGTGTATACACGCGTGCCAGCATGCTTGAGGCGCGCCGGCAAAGGGAGAGATGTACGGCGGGGGCCGGGCCGGGGGGGAACCGGGAGCCGGGCAGGGGCGAGGGGGCCATGTGTCCCACTTTGGCGCGAGTGCGCGCGCGCGCGCGCACACGCATGCACGCACGCGTTCCGCACTCGGCCTGAGACTAGTTTCTGCCGCGGCCACGACATAAATGCCTCACTTCTTGCCTCGCACACATTTTGCCCCGGCGCCCCGGCGCGCCCCCCCCCCCCCCCCCGGCCCGGTCCCCTCGAGCGGGACCGGTGGGAGCGGTCAAACACATGGGCACACCCAGCAAACGGCGGACATGCCAGGCCCCGTCCCGCTGCTTCGACCGTCCCTCACCGGGCAGGCTGGCCCGGGGCAACAACACAAGAGCCCTGATCCCCCACGCGGAGATGGGCAGGGCATTGCGCAGACCCTCCTTTGCGGGGGCTCTCGCCTTGGGGGGCGGGGGGGCACACTGGGCGGGAAAGTGCGGCGAGCCGGATCTCGCGAGCATGATCGGTGCCCGGTTGAGGTCGCGTCCGCCCGAAAGCAAGGGGCGCGGGAGGAAGCCGAACGGCCGAGCGCCCGCATGTTCAACCACAGGACTCGGGGACCGGGGCATGCTGGGGCGGGGGGAGGGGGGGGGGGGGTCTGGTCGGAGACAGGACTCCCCCCATACCGGGAGCCTTCTTCCCCGCCGATTGCAGCTGCCTCCGTGGGGCTTGGAGGGCTGGCCCCAGGCAAAGTCGATCGCAGCCAGCCACCCCTCGCGCACGCGCCTCCGGCGCCGCTCCAGACCGGCCGCCGCTCCCGGACACGGAGCCCGCCCGGGCCCGGCCAGGCTGCACACGGCCAGCATGACCTCCTTCGCCACAGGGCGCAGATTGCCACCCATTGAATGTCTTCCGTGGGCCCGCCACTCGAGATCGCCCCCAGGCAGGTGTCCCTTGGCATCGGATCCGCCCGGGGGGGAGAGGGGGCGGGGCCATACCTCGCGGGCAAAAAAATATAACAGGCCCAACCGCAACAAGAGGAACAACGAGACCACAAGGGTGAAGCCCCAGCCAAACACGAAGGAGGGGGGGGCCTGCGGCCGGGGGCGCCATGCGTCGGCCCCGAAGGGCAGGGCCGCGTACGCCGGTCAGCCAGAGAGGGGGGTGGGCGAGGGCGGGGGGGGGGCACGGCTGTTATTGTTGTTGGCGTGCCCGCCGTCGCCGCCAGGACAAACGGCCGACGAGACTGCAGCAGGACCGGCACCTTTGCCGCTTCTCGCCCTGCCCTGGCCTTGCGGGCGCTTGGCCACGGGTCCCGGGCATCGACCGTCGTTTCCGAAGGCACCGCATGCGTACCCCCCCCCCCCCCCCCCCCCCCCCCTCCCCCCCTCAGGCGTGCTTGCCTGGCGCATGAAGGAGGACCATTCCCCGTCCCCCGGAGTGCCCGCATGTACAGGCACAGGTCGTAGGAGAGAGGACACCGTTTACGGCTGAGAGAACACCACCCCCTGGTGCCGGGGCGCGCGCGCCGGGCTGGGAACGCGTGCTCGCTCGCGCGCCGGGGCCAGCCAACAAATTCTGAAAGTCATGGCGCGCATATTTCGAGATCGAAATGCCATTCTAGATTCGACGTGATTTCGCTCAATAGGTCACGTACATGCGGTGGATTTCCCAGGCGCACATCAACCGGCACATGCGAGCGCGCGCGCGCGCACGCTCGCACGCCTCGAACAACAGGCCGTTGGGCAGCCTCCTCCCGACCATCCTGGTGTACACGACGCAAGAAGCGCGCGATTGGGCATGGAAAGGAGAGAGGGAGAGGCCCCTGATCTGCTGCCCTTCCCCCGCTCTCCCCCGACACACACGCACACACATGCACACATAGTGACACACAGATGTGCAAGAAAACAGCATCTGCAGGATCTGCAAAAGGTAATAACTATATTACAAAGTGGGCAAGCTGTAAAAAGAAGGAACGTGGCGTGCAGGCGCACACAACAGAGGCGAGCACTTGGGCGGTGGAGGGAGGGTAGGCAAAAATCGGCAGGGGAGGAGAGAGAGAGAGAGGGGGGGGGGGAGGGGGGAAGGAAGGAAATACGGGCGCGGGGACCCCTCCTTGGCACTCACACCAGCCCTCCCCCCGTCCCCCGAGACACATCCCCCCCGCGCACACAATACTCCAAAAGAAAAACTGGAGTGCACATACAAATACACACAGACAAGCACACGCCCTCAGCTCCTGGACTTCTCCATCCTCTGCACTACCGCCCTTTCAGGGGGAGGGAGAGTAGGAGTACGGGCTGTAGTTCGTGGCGCCGCTGTCGCCGTCGTGCGCAGCGGCAGCAGCCGAGCTGCCGCCACGCGGGGAAACCGGCGACGCATCGCGGTGGTGGCGTGCGCCACCGGCGGACTTGCCACTGGCGCCGCTGACGCTCGACCGGCGGCCGGAGCCACGCGAGGACGAGGGCGCCGGGTCGGACGGCGAGATCAGGCTCGCGGGGTCCATGACACCCGAGTCGCCACCGGGGGAGTGATGGTGACGGCCGCCATAGGAGCCACCATCCTCCGCGGAGGGAGAGTGATGGCCGGCAGCGTGGGAGTCACCGGCGCGGCCGGCTTCGGAGCTGGCGCTGTTGCCGCCGTTGGAAACGTCATCAGACGCCGGGCGCCGGGAGGCGGCCGACCGGCCGCCACGGTCCTCGCCGCCATCGACGGCCGAGCCGCCATGGTGCTCGCCGACATCGGCAGACCGGGAGGAGGAAGAGGCGTCGTGCTCGGAGGAGGAGCGCGAGTTGCCGCCCTGGTGGCCGCCACGGCCGCCACCACGGCCACCACGACGGGACATCGAATCGCCGCCATACCCACCGGCACCATTGCCGCCGTTGTAGCCGCCGCGACGGTCGCGGCTGTTCCAGCCACCGCCGCCATAGCCACCACGGCGATCACCGCCGTAGCGCTCAGTGGCATAACGATCGCCACCGTAACGATCACCGCCGTAACGATCGCCACCACCATAGCGGTCGCTGCCGCCATGGCGATCGCCGCCACCGTAGCGGTCAGCGCCACCATGACGATCGCTGCCGCTATGGCGGCTCCCGCGCTCCGGGCTGCGGCTAGACCCGCGATGACGCTCCGGGCTGCGCTCGGACCGGCGCTCGGGGCTCCGGTCAGACCGGCGCTCATCCGGACGCGAGGAAGACGAAGAAGCAGAAGTGGAGGAAGACCCGGCAGCAGTGCCGGCGGTGGAGACCTCATCGCGGCGATCGCCACGGCGACCCTCGTCGTGGCGATCACGCGGACGCGAGGAATACCGGTCCGGGCTGCCGCCGCGAGTGTGGTCCGGGCTGCGATCGCGCTCGCGGCTGCGGTCGCGCTCGCGGCTGCGGTCGCGCTCGCGGCTGCGGTCGCGGCTGCGGCTGCGATGACGCCCATAGCGCTCCGGGCTCCAGCCCCGGTCGTCGTAGCGATCACGCTCGCCGCCGTAGTAGCCGCCACGGCCGCCACGGAAGCCGCCACGACCGCCGCGGAAGCCGGGACCGCCATGATGGCTGCCACGACCACTGGAGGGTGGAAAGTCCGTGTCAGGGGGGAATCATCCGGCTGAGGGCAGGGAGAAGGGGGGGGGGCGGGAAAACGGAGGACAAGCAAATCGAGGGCATACCCATCAAGACGGCCGTTGCCACGACCGCGGTAGTTGTTGTTGGACCGACCGTGGGAGATCTCGACCGAGATGCTCCGGCCCTCGAAGGTGTGGCCGTTCAGCTGCTCCATGGCGCGGCGGGCATCATCCATGTTGCCGAAGGTGACGAACGCGAAGCCTGGACATCAACAACGGAGGGGAGAGGGAGGGGGAGAGGAAAGCCACGCGCAGAAGGGGCCGGAAGGGGGTGCGGGTCCAAATGTCAGGAGGGAGGAGAGGCGGAGGGGGGGGGAGGGGGGGGAGGGGCATGAGAGCCGAGTGAAGAGGCAAGCGCTTTTGACGAACCGGGAGGATGGCGGGCAACCCAGAAGTCGACGACGTTGGCCTGTGCCTCGAAGAGTCGGCGAAGCTCGCGCTCGTCGGTGTGGTTGCCCAGGTTGCCGACATGGACCTTGACACTGAAGAGGGGACGATCGGAGGGGAGATGGGAGAGGGGGCCGCGCGCGCGTGTGTCCCGGGTGCACAAGAGGAGTTAGGAGTCGGGTCTCACGTCGGGGGAGGCCGTGCACGGGAGGGAGGAGCGGCGGATGACGGCGGAGTCGGAGGGTGGGCGGTGGGCGGTGGACGGTGGCGAGCAGGCGAGCAGGCAGGCGAGCAAGCAAGCAGGCGGACAGGCGAGCAGGCAGGCAAGCAAGCAGCCTAGTGGCCAAACTGACAAGCAGACAGGCGGACAGGCGGACAGGAAGATATGCAGGCTTGATATCAAGTAGATAGTGATGCCAGTATCGGTGCCAGTGGCGGTGGCGATGGGAAGCGGCGGTGGCGGTGGAGGCGGTGGAGGCGCTTCTCTCTTGCCCTGCGAAAGACAGAGCAAGAGCGCCATGTCGAGGGAGTAGGAACCGGAAAGGGGGGGGGAGGGAAGAAACAGGAGAAGGAAATATGCGGATGGCGGATGGGAATGGACGAGGCAGACGAGAGACCAGACAGCGCGCGGCAAGGTGGGGAGGGCGCATGCGCGGCATGTGGAAGCCCTGACGGTAGAGTGGACCAACATTCATACGTGCATGTGTATATGTGTGTGTGTGTGCATGCGCGTGCAGGTGTACACACGCAGACACATACATACATATACACATAACCACCCAAATACACATTCGCGTGGGCAAAGGTGTGTGAAGCCATGCCCTCACAGGCAGGAGCTGCACAGCCTCGAAGAAGACAGTATACACACATACACACACACACACACAGCAGGGGGGCTGCCTCGGAAAACCCGAGGCGAAGACCCCTTCGGACAGTCGAACTCAGAGCATGGAAGGGAGGAAGAGGGGAAGCAAGGGAAGATGCTGGGAGGGGAGGAAAGTCACGGATGTGAAAGGGCATACGAATCAGGCATGGTTGGGGGGGGGGAGGTGCTGTAAGCGGGACGCGAGGGGGCGCGTGGAAGCAAACAGAAAACCGGGGGGGGGAGGAGAGGGGGTTGGTTGGACACCAATCGGGAGTCAAAGCTGGGGGAGCCACGTTTTCAGAAACAAGAGGAGGCCTCCCTGCGGAGGGCCCGCGAGAAGGAGGCGCGGAGACGTGCCGGTGTCGACCGTTGGACGGGAGGGGGGGCGTCCGCGCAATTCCGCCCCGCACCCCCCCCTTGGAGTGCGGGACTCCCGCCCCCATCCCCCCGGAGGACATGGACAACCGATACCCCGTTCGCCAGGGCAGGGCGGGGGGGGGAAACTTGTCTGACAACTGACCGCGGTGTAGGCTGCCCCCCGAGTGAGAAATACCCCTCGCAAGGGACGACCAATAATCGTCCAATAATAGAAGTCGGGTTATATGGGGCGGGTACTGCGAGCCGGCCGAGCCGGCCCGGCGAAGGCAGGCCCCTTCCCCCCTCTCTCCAACCGGGGGAAAGCTATACCGAGCCGGGTTTAGTGAGATGGAGTCACATGCCCGTTATCCGGTTATTCAGCATTCTCGTGCTGCTTCGGCGTCGGCACCTGACCCGGTCGCGGTTCTGGGTCTGATGCCCAAAGCCCCAGCGGGGCGCTGCCTTCTCGGCGCCAGGGCCGGGCGGGCTTCGAAAGGGTGTGTCCGCACCCGGAGCAGCCAAATCCCCCGGTCCTCGCCCCGGTTAACTCCCCCTATTTGTCGGCTTCGGGATGGCCCTCCGTGCCGGGTGCGGGGGGCGTTCTCTTTCTCGGAGAATACGGCTCCCCCTACCCGAGTTTCTCTCGCTCACTCTCTCTCTCTCTCTCTCTCTCGCAGTCCGTGTGTCTGGTCGCCTCGCCGACAAGATTCGCGTCGAGCACATGCCGGCCGCGTGCACCTCACTGCCGTCGGGCGCTTGCTGATGTCATCACCACGCGACGAGGACAGCGAGCCATGACCATCGAAAGGCACCCTCAGGGTTGGGGACTTCAAGGGGGCGGGGGACGACACGGGAGAACAAGTATCTGTCTGTGCCTCTCTGCTCGACACGGCTGCCACAACCGAGAGTCCCGGCCCGTGAGTCTGAAATAGAAGCATGTACTTCTGGTCTTCACCTGATGACACTGAGTGCTCCGCGGCGGGAAAAACGCCCCCCCCCGACGTTGGCGCTTGTTTGTGCAGGCGTCTCTCCCCCGGCAGGAGCCCGGCTCCGGTCGATTTATCTCGCTCGCTCTGTCGCCGGCTCTTGTCCCCTCCCGCCGGCCCCCGACGGAGGGGGCGGGGCTGTAGGACTGGATGGCCGTCCTCAGTGTACCCCCCCCCCCCCCCCCCCCACCAGCCTGGTGAAGTGTCTCCTGCCGGCCGGGGGCTTCTCAGTGCGTGTGCGCGGAGAGGGGGAGGATACTTCGGAGAAACGGACAGCAACCAAACACCAGTATTTAGGTCAGCTGCCCGGGGACTATCTTCCCCGAGCACTTGTGCGTGGTCCCACCACTCTTGCGCATGCAGCATGGTGCGTTCAGAGGTCCACCAGACAACTCCCCTGTGGCCCGGGCCATTGTGTGTGGCAGTGTGTGTATGTGTGGCAGTGTGTGTGTGTGTATGTGTGTATGTGTGCGTGCGTGCGTGGGCGGGGGGGGGTTAGAGGAAGGGTGGCGTGTGGATGGGTGTCGGGCGGGCAGGCTGCTTACGGGATGTTTGGTTAATGTGCCGCGCGGGAGGCCAAATGCCCTGGGCATTTGCGTCCAGAGTCTTTCCGGTGCTCGGCTGTTGGGCTAGCCTTCCAGCCAGCCACAGTCATCTAGTTTCCACGACCGTGGAAAGTCCCCCCTGTCCCCGTCCCCGGGCTGGGCGTCCACCATGGTCGACCTCCAGCTCAACCGGCGAGAATATTCCACCGCTGGCCGCCCATCCCTCGGGCGGCAGGTTCTGTGGCCGGCCCAAAAATGAAGGCAACCCGGGGCGCCCTGGGGCGGCCTGCGCCCGTGCGGGTGCACGCGCCCGCCTTTGTACACGCATTTGCGCACTTACACTCGCACCCACAGAAAAGCACGTTGTTGGCCAGCGGCCCCCCCCCCCCTCCCCCCCGGGTCTGGCCGGATTGAGCAGGCGCACGCATGGGCTCGCCCCCCGCCAAGGTACAAGGTTCCGGGCCGGCACGCCGCGACACACGAGCGCGCCAGGTGCCAACATAGACCCGGCAGCGCATACGCCGCAGTATCGGGCCCCTCTAGACTGGCAAGTGATTAGGGCTGCTTGCATGCCCTTCGCTCCCTCCCCACGCGCTCGTCCCGCCCCCGTCCCCCCCCCCCCCCCCCGGGGGGCCGGGGGTACACGCCAGCCCTGTTGTGCAAGCGCTCCTGCTGGAGGCCCGGGGGAATTCGGCTCGGTCTGCGAAGACCGCGGCTTCTCGGTGTTCCTGGATGGTTCCGATCGTGCGGGTCTCCTTCCGCGACCGAGTGACCGACCAGCCGGGCGGCAGGGGAGGGGGGGAATCCTTTAACGGCGGCCCCAGAAAGGGGATGGTCGACAGGTCCGCCCCGGAGTGTCCGACGCTCAGGAGACCTCGTGCCTCCGAGAGGCGACTGTCGGTCTCTGCAATTCCCCCAGGCCTCAAGTATCCCAGGTGCGGGTGAGGCTCACGGGTTGGATCGGCCGGGCGGTCCGCCCCTGGCCGCCGAGACACCCGCGCGCCTCGGGGGAAGTCCCCCTCCCCCTGAGCATCTGCTCACCGGCCCCTGTGGTTCTGAAGATGTGCTGTGCCATGTTGTGCAATTGCCCCGAAGAGCATGCCCGCCCCCCCCCCCCCCAGCCCTTCGACTCACCCTCTGCCCCGGGGGTGGGGTCGGGACAGGCGGGGTGCGTGAGTGTGGAAGCACTGAGGCTCTGCCGGCTCGGCTCACGCAAGTATGCTCTTTGCCCGGTGCGAAGAGAGAGGCGAAGGGGGATGGGGGTGGGGGTGGGGGGAGGGGACGGAATTATCTGCGCTTCCTCGACAGACCCCCCCCCCCCCG